ATACCTTAGTAGTGCTAGTCATATATTTATCTGGACAAGGGGATAAAGATATAGGTTAGTTCTTGGAAGAGGTGACACAGGGATATTACATTCACTATTAATACACAACGCAAAGTGGATTTCTCTCAAAAGGATACCAATTGGAAGTATTGGTGGTAAGAGAAGGATTATACAACAGTGCTGATTTTTGTAAATCCCCTTAGAAACACCTCAAGGCTGTCAAGAATACAAGGCTTCCCACATCACTCACTTTGGACGGTAATTCAAAAAGGAAGCAAGTGCTTTTTAAGAAGAAACGTTGTTAACCACCTCCTTTTGGCTATCGCTGTGCTGCTCCTCTTCCCTTAACGCTGAACCTCCACTGTTTGCCCATGTGCAATCAACATCATTATGCTACGCCAGCTTTCATCCTAAAAGTGATAGTAGGCAAAGCACTTCTGGGCTGAAAACACATTTATATATTTACACTAATTGTCCTAATTTTTTCCCAACAAATCGCCACACACTTATTAAGTCTGTCTCTGACATCAGTTTCTTGCCCTGGTAGCCCGAGAGTGCGTTCCCATATTCTTGGTATTTCTGGTAACTGACTTGGCTTAGTAAATACTAAATAGTTTATTCTGTATTCTGGTCCCTGACCCTTGGCTGTTACTCATATATCCATCTGTCTCCAACCCTGACCTAGGCCTGGATCTGACTATTCTCTATCCTACACCTCATATTTATATACGTACGTTTAGTTTGGCCACTCTAAGGCCTGGTAATATGTCTTTATTTTGTATAGGGTTATACTTGCCTCACTGTTTGCAAGTTAGGGCATCTGACCTTGACACAGTCTAAGCAGAAAAGGAAATTAACAAAAAACAAAATCTACCTCTACTAGGAGGTAGTGAGTGATACAATAAAGTGCCTGAAACAGAAATCAGCTCTACACACAGTGGAATACCCTTTCCCCACAACAAATCTTAGATGTACAGGAAATTTATGGTATACAGTGCATACCAATTAGTGGAGCGCTATACAAAATAAAGGTAGTGCAGGGGGTTAAACTTACCTCATGAATTCAGTGTAACAACAAACTTGAAAGTGCAAGCGGTACATATGGAAAAGAAAAAATATATGAAGTTTATAGTGCAGATGGTCTCGGATAATAATCGGTGGTAATATTATCCGAGACTATCTGAACTATAAACGTATTTATTTTTTTCTGTTCAGCATCCAAACATTCAGTATCTCCTCCCTCTGCATGCAGACACTGAACTTTCCTTATAGAGATTCATTGATTCAATTCATCTCTATGAGGAGATGCCAGGGCTGTGTTTCAATCATGCTGGCTCTGCCCCTGATTTGCCTCTTTGTCAGTCTTAGCCAATCCTATGGGGAAGCATTGTGATTGGATCAGGCTACCACTTCTGATGATGTCAGCAGACAGCTTGTTTTTCTGAGGCAAACATCATGCAGATCTACAGCTTCAGGCTTGAATACGGTAAGATTTTGCTATATTTATGGAGGCATGAGGGGCCCAGGGGGGCTAGATGGTGGTTTTAACACTATAGGGTCAGGAATTCATGTTTGTGTTCCTGACCCTATAGTGATCCTTTAACAAAGGCCAAATAGTAATGGCTAGACAACTGTGTCAAAGTGTCTCCAAAAAAGCAAGTCTTGTGGGGTATTCCTGGTATGCAGTGGTTAGTACTTACCTAAAGTGGTGCAACCAGTGTACCTGCATCAGGGTCATGAGCGCCCAAGGCCCATTGTTCCATGTGGGTTGCAACGGCTAGCCCATCTGGTCTGATAACACAGAAGAGCTACTATAACTCAAATTGATGAAAAACATAATGATAACCATAATAGAAAGGTGTCAGAACAAACAGAGCATCACAGTATGCTGTGTATGGGACTGTGAAGCTACAGACCTTTAGAGTGCCCATGATGACCCTCTCCACCAGCAAAAGAGCCTTCAGTGAGGATATGAGCATCAGTACTGAAATATGGATCAATGAAAGAAGCCTATTCAGGTATGGTTTGAGGAACATGACAAAGAGTTCAAGATGTTGCTTTGGTCTCCAAATTCCTCAGAATTCAATCCGATTGAGCAACTGTGAGATGTGCTGATACAACAAATCCAATCCATGGACCCACCTCACAACCTGCAGGACTTAAAGGATCTGATGGTAATGTCTTGGTGCCAGATACCACAGGACATGTTCAGAGGTCTTGTGGAGTCCATGTCTCAACACATTGGCAGCAAGAGGTGGACCTACATGATATAAGGCAGGTGTTTTTAATGTTGTGGCTGTTTAGTGTGTATATATAAAATTGTCTCTCTCAGTCCTCCTGGGTGTTATTTGTATATTCCTTATTCTAGGGTCCTCTCAGAGACATGGTAGTCTGAGGGTTCTACACACACTCATACTTCATTGTTTCTATGACATATACTGGTATCTGACAGTTAAATAGGATTTTGAAACTTGCTGGGAAACATTTGCAGATATTTTCTTTTTCCCCATGTACTTTGTTAAATGCAAAACTAGTGAGCACCAAATTTGTTTGTCAACACTGAAATTTTCTTCTATTACATCTTACCAAACATGTCACAGTGAACACAATAGTCTCAGCCATGGTGGTATGACATAATATATTTCATGTATTCACAGTAGCCCCCAAAGCTTCCATGTGGATAAATATATTTTCCCTATGGGAAAGCATTGAATTGACTGAGATTATTGTCACTGATGATCCCAGCCAGGGTTGAGAGATCAAAATGGTGAGGTAAAATAATTTTAAGTTTTATAGGAGGGGCTCAATTATCTAAATGGGTAGGAAACAACTCGGTTAGAAATAAGTGTTTGGAGATTGTTAGAGTTTTCCTTTAAATACTTACACCAGTTTGTTTTTCCTGGAATGATAGAAAACATTCACTTATACCTGTAAAAATAGATTCTCACGACTAAACAGAGGCTATATTTATTAAGGCAAAAGAGTTGCAGTACAAGGGGAAAGTGCTTAATAAAGAGCCCATACTGTGGAAATATATATATTTTTTCTTCACATGTAGCATTTTGCCCTGGAATTGCTTGATCATTTGGCCTATAGTTCTGGTGCTTTCTATTTTTATACAACCAAGATATAATACATTTTTGATGAAAAGTCTTGCTCTTTTTTGTTTTATACGGAAGTACTATTTTCGTCATGCCCCCGAAACATTTCTAAAATAAGTACCCACATTCTTTTCCTGCTTCATTTCATTAACAAGTATCCAAGGATAGGCCAAGGGCATTACTGTGTGTAAAGCTATATAAGCACTTTAGACTCATATGTGACTCTCTACCTGATGTTAGATGTGGATTATGGACAGAGTGGACCCTGAAGCAGAGTCCTTCTCCGAATGCATTAATATAATATATTGTACAAATAATATATATTACTTAAAAGAAAACATAGGAAAGAGAAAAACTACAGATTTGTTTATAATAATTTCTGCATAACATGTAACAACAAATACATTAATTAAAGGACACTAAGAGCACTATAACCACCACAACCCACATGGCACAATGCAAAGCTAGCATAATAAAAAGGGAAGACATCTAACATCTCTTCTAGTGTATGGGAGTTATCCCACTCTCTCATGTCTAATCTCTAGCCTGGTCTGCTAAGCAGTCCCAGTGCACATAGCCACTGCCTGCTCAGGTCAGTATAATGGTGTTGTCAAAGTATGGTAGCTTTGCAACCCTGTAGGAGGACACCATGCCTAATTGCTTGAAATACAGTGCAAGCATGCAATTTTCAAGCCCTCAAACGGTCACCAGTCTTGACAAATTTTTATTAGGACAATGGGACTTTGGCTTAGTGCTCAGTCATTGTGTAGCGGGAGCCCTGCAGAGAGAGGAGAGACACCCAGCATGGGAGTGCTAGGTGAGTGCCAGGCACAGCGGGGTGCTGACACTATACTGCTGTTTCTACTAGGTTTGATGCCAGATCATTGACTTGAATTGGTATTTTGAGTTTGTTTTTGCCTCTGGCCTCTTGCACTTCTATCTCCTATTGACCTCGTTGCTGCTGTCTGCAGACAGCTCAACATGAGCTCTTATATATGAGTAATTAATATTACTTAATATACTTAATTATATTTTGCACATGAATTATCACTGATGTATAAAACGCATCTCAAATGTCACAATGTTGTGCATTAGATAATCTCTTCTTTCTTTCTTTCTTTTTTTTTTGTGGTATTGAGAGGACCACATAGTGACTTCAGCACTGTGTACCTGTAAATTTACTTGAGCAAAAATGCAAAAGAAAATACAGAAATACCATCTAATGGACGACCTTACACCTACAGCGAAAGGAACCACTAAAATATTTCACAAGATATGGGAACCCTGGGAAAGCAGTACCTTGGGACACAGATGAGGGTGACTATACCTCCATAGCGACTAATAGAGGTCCACAAGGGTCAGCATAGAATCCTGACGCTCCCTGGCATAAAGAATTAAAAAAAAAAAAAATACAGAAATAGTAAAAGTAATCCATTCAAGCTGCACGCTTATTACATGTCTTTGAACCATAAGCCAGAGTTGTTCTAAGTAAAGCAAATCAAAGCACAGGATAACTATTTATTATTATGTATCTTATAAAACAGGTTGCCTAGTAGGAAGACATAAAGTAGCACATGTAGATGTAATACTCCTGGACATACTCTAAATACATTATGGAGCACTTTCCATCCATCATAACAATAGTACTCAATTAAAGATTAATATCAGTGTCAATTGGAAGGGATGTAAGGCATCTATCTTAACCTTGTACAGTATTAATTTTTAACAGAATGCACAACTCTGTCACATTGAAAACCTCCCACCTATACAAATGTCAAAATGACTTTTCAGTAGAAGGTCTAGCAAACATGTCTCTGTTTTCCTTACAGCTTAAGTATATCCGTAAAGAAGAAAGGTTCATGTTGGACCCTTTTTAAATCTTTCAATAGAGGTTTTTCTAGCGTCACTTGAGGTACCTGTAAATAGTGAAGTCATATCCTTCTTGTGGACAGGTCATGTAAAAATACTATACATCGTTGCATACAAAAACTCTTTATGTTGTGCTTAATACTTGAAAATCTTCTTCATTACATTTCTAGTATCTTAATATAGTCATAGGTTTTCTAAGCATTCATTGGGCCTTCTCTTCTTGATCAATAGCCATCATTCTAATGTGTGTATGTGTGTGATTACTGTAAGTTAAACACAAACACATTGCAATAAACCACATAAGGACATAGGTAATTGTACAATTTCTGAACCAAAACTAAAAAAACAAAACCTAGAATTTGAGCTGTGTGTTTTATTCCACTGTAATTTAAGGGTTTCTTTTCAAGAGCCCCATACAAATTATATATTGTTTTTTAAAGGACAGAAAGTGATTTTTTTTAAAATATCCTTTATGTATACCTAACACAACATTAAAGGACCACTATAGGCACCCAGACCACTTCAGCTTAATGAAGTGGTCTGGGTGCCTGGTCCATCTAGGGTTAACCCTTTTTGCCGTAAACATAGCAGTTTCAGAGAAACTGCTATGTTTACCTATGGGTTAATCCAGCCTCTAGTGGCTGTCTCATTGACAGCCGCTATAGGTGCTTCTCACTGTGATTTTCACAGTGAGAAGACACCAGCGTCCATAGGAAAGCCTTGAGAATGCTTTCCTATGGACTGGCTGAATGCGCGCGTGGCTCTTGCCACGTATGCGCATTCAGACGATGACAGAAGAAGAGGGAGGAGAGTCCCAGCGCCAAGGGAGCCCGGCGGGGGGAAAAAAGGTAAGGGATTAACCCCTTCCTACCCCTTCAGCGCCACAGGAGTGAGTATGTTTTCCTGGCACTATAGTGGTCCTTTAAGTGTGAATAAAATGTAAAAAAAAAAAAATCACACTTTTGCGTATAACAACTTTTTACACATCCAATGCAATTAAATAAAAAATAAAATTAAAAATAACTCTAAATAGATGCACACATCAGTCCTGATTGCTAAATGTTTTATATATCTGCGATCTAAATACATTTTTGGTAGTTATCACTAATCCAATACCAACCCCTTACCTTATTCTAATAATAACATAGCCATATAACAATCCTAAACTTACTCTTAACCCTTACCTTACCCTAAAACTAACCCTACCCCAACACTAAACCTTACCCTAGCACTACCTCTAACTTTAAACAAAACCTCCGCTAATCAGTGCTGATACCAGCAAACCGATTTTCTAGTTAAAACAGTCGAGTGGTATGTTACCATCTACTGGCTGTTTTCAATATTACAGGAACATTTTCTTGTAATACTAATACAAGCATGCTCTCCCGGCCAATTGCACCATGATCAGAGTCGGGCAAATGACAAAGCCCAGTACGATCACCATTGACTTGCGGACATGCAGGAAGACCCTGGGGGCCTTCTTTCAGTAGCCAGCATCCCTAGAATCACTGTGGCTGTGTGCGATTGCTCAGCAAAAGTAATTTAAAATGATTTCAAGGGCTTTCTTTCAGAGCTTATTTTGAGTGCTGCATACAGCTCAGTGGCTGGCTTTAACCCACCTCACACTGAATTGCAGCAATAGGCAGTTACATGGTTATGCTCACTTTGGTAGTGCTCACTTTAAGTGCTGCACACAGCACATCTGCCAGTCTGGGGCCACTAAAAATTATTCCAGCTGACAGAGGGGATTCTCTGGTGTAAGAGATTTTAGGACGTTTCATGCCATTCTAACAGTGTTAAAACCCACACAGTTGCGGACGGCATGGCATGTCCTAACATCAGGAAGAGGTTCAGTTACATGACAGTGATACTATTTTAAGGGACTCCTTGGTGTAAGAGATTTCAGGATGTTTGATGCCATTCTAACAGTGTCAAAACCCACACAGTTGAGGACGGCATGGAATGTCCTAACATTAGGAAAGGGTTAAGTTACATGACAGTGATACTTTTTCTTTAAGGTAACAATTCTTCTTATTATTTTTTAGACCGATTCTGTGGGTCTATGTCCATTAGATATAGAAGTCCATTAGGTAAATAAATAAATAAAAAATGCATCATCTAAGAGACTGATAAAGAGTATACCTTGGAGTTTGTCTGTTCCTCATTCTCTTCATTAGTTACTGTACCTCTGAGAGCAATATTTCAGTGCGTGAAATTACAGGCCATTTGCACGTGGCAAGTTGCAAAAAAAAAAAAAAAAAAGCTGACTGCCTGAATTTCAATACCCGTAACCAAATATCTTTGGTAAAAGAAAAAAAAATATCTGAAAAATAAAACCGCTTTCTCACATGGCACCTTGGACCACTATAAGCTAAATATATCTTTTTATGCTGGTCTGTTTAATTGCAACACTATCTATAAAAATAAAAGTCAGTCAAGCCCCGTTTTTGCTAATTCTAGTATTTTACACTATATTGCAATATTTGCACATAATACTACGAGATGCTATACAAGGTTCTCAAGTGTATTACTATTGGTGTATTCTACATGTTATTGAACTCTGGATTTAATAGGAAAAAGTAAATAGTAAAAAGAGAATTTCATTAATGAAGGTATAAAAAGAAAATATAAATATTGCATGGCCTTAATGGAAGAATGAAATATAGTCTACAATACACAGCTGTAATGTACAAATGGATAATCAATCTGTACAATTGATAGGACTGGGAATGACTAAAGAGGGCCTAACCCTTGTACATACCCATATAGAGGTTATAAATTAGCCAAGGACACGTCATTGAATTTGAATAAAGACTTTAATGCCTTTTAGTACTAAATGTATGCTTTAAAGGGACACTATAGTCACCTGAACAACTTAAGCTTCATGAAGCAGTTTTGGTGAATAGAACATGCCCCTGCAGCCTCACTGCTCAATCCTCTGCCATTTAGGAGTTAAATCCCTTTATTTATGAACTCTAGTCACACCTCCCTGTATGTGACTTGCACAGCCTTCCATAAACACTTCCTGTAAAGGGAGCCCTATTTAGGCTTTCTTTATTGCAAGTTCTGTTTAATTTAGATTTTCTTATCCCCTGCTATGTTAATAGCTTGCTAGACCCTGCAAGAGCCTCCTATATGTAATTAAAGTTCAATTTAGAGATTGAGATACAATTATTTAAGGTAAATTACATCTGTTTGAAAGTGAAACCAGTTTTTTTTTTCTTGCCGGCTCTGTCAATCATAGCCAGGGGAGGTGTGGCTAGGGCTGCATAAAAAGAAACAAAGTGATTTAACTCCTAAATAACAGTGAATTGAGCAGTGAAATTGCAGTGGGATGATCTATACACTTAAACTGCTTTATTTAGCTAAAGTAATTTAGGTGACTATAGTGTTCCTTTAATATTTTTTTACTGGGTGACAAATAGAACAGTATAAAATATATATTTATTTGTTTCAATACTAAAATGGAATTTGGAGTAAATTACTCGACTTGGCTAATTTAGCACATTTATATTGCACAGCCTTACCCTAACATTGTTTGCATAGCTTTGTCTTTATGATTGTTTGATGGTTAAAGCAATACAAATACTTCTTTAAAAGTGCTCCAGCCAATGATTTTCTTCTTTACTTCTTTAAAAGTGCATGCAATGACTTTATAGGCACTGAAAAGAGTAAATAATTTATTTTAGTTTTAATCTGTTTTTTGTAGGCCGGGGTGGAGTTGTCTTTAAGTTTAACCCCTTAAGGACACATGACATGTGTGACATGTCATGATTCCCTTTTTTCACCAGAAGTTTGGTCCTTAAGGGGTTAAACCATGCAATTAAAGCACTGCCATTTACAATATAAATCAATGCTTATATTGCAGGGTTAAATACGTCTCTAGTATGCCACTAACGCTAAAGTGGTCCTTTAAAGCACTATCTATATAATGCATTAAAAACAGCCTACTATATCTATTTAAATACCCATCAAATCTAAAATCAATCTTTAAACAGCAACTAAATTATCCTCTCCCTTCTACTTATCAAACCTTGATTGTAGAAGGTTATTTCATATTTTGATCTTCACCCATTATTGACATAAACATATGACGTCAGTCTCTTGCCTTGAACTAGGTTTTGTCTTTCAGGTTTTCAGAGCCTAAACTTAGTCAAGTCAAATACTAGACCTTTGGTACATGTATAAGTATACCTCTAATGTATTTATTAAGATCATCATTGGAGCATGAGGAAGATTGTCAAACCAGCTAGGGTAGGGAAATCATAATTTTGCTCTATTTATTTATCGTTTCCTTACTGAATGAAGGAGTGCATGGTATGTCTCTTGTACCAAGTTTTCACATTGCTACAGTATATGTTGCCTTTAGAGTCTTTTTTTTTTTGGGGGTGAGGGGTTTAAAGGAAAAACTAATGTCTGTGTCTACAAGTAAAACCCTTTTTTCCAGACTCATCTTTCTAACATGCAACTGTGACATTCAGATTCCATCTCCTCCCATTGTCAGTATTACACATAGTTATTACCAATAATATAGGACTTTTTTTTTCAAAAATATAGTTAAGTATAAAAAGTAGATATAGATATAGTCATTTAAAAACAAAACAAAACACCGGTTGGTATTTAGAAAGTATTATTTAAATGTCTAGCTCTTGTAATGGTAATATCCAATTCAGCTAGAAAAGCTGCACGCCAAAAACTATTTATATAGATCTCTGTTAAAGGTATATCTAATGAATGTACATTTGAAGAGTAAGCAAATGCATTATCTTTTTCAATATTATTCCACAATGTATTAAACAAATATAAAATGTGTACAAAAACATGTTACCATGATACCCGTTCTCCAAAACACAGTGATTAAAACATTGTTTACACATAAATATATATAAAATATATTTTCATATTTTCTTATTTTCTTCCTCTTCTTCTTGTAGTTGATTCACTCTCACCTCTTGTTCGAGAAGGCTGTGTCCTTAGTCTTGGTTTGTTTACTATATGGGGCAAAGTTTCCTGTACAATTCTCAGTGTTTTATTGCGGGTTCTGCTACATTTTTTGTCCTTTCCTTCTTCGTATGGCTTCTTAACTGCTTTACTTTGACCAGCATTTTTAAGCACAGGTTTACAAATGTCTGACTCTCTTTTGCAAGGCTTACGTGAAATACATTTTGACTTTACACCTGTGTTACTATTAAAATGTCGCCTTGGTAACTCTTTCTTCTGACCTGTCACATTCTTTTGCCTCGGCCGAACTGCCTGAACAGAAGGAACATCATATTTTAGAAATCTCAAGGAAGCCTTTCTTAAAGGTTGCTTTCTAATTTTAGGTAGTTTCTTTTGCGCTATTTTCCCTACATTTTTTATCATCCCACACTGTTTATGCTTGGACTTTGTATGACACCTAGTTTCTGCCACTTGTTTTATATTTGCTGTGGAATGGACAATTTTCTGCTTGATCTCATTCTTATTTGGCCCCAAGGTTTTTCTTATAGTCCTAGTGATTGATGGAACAAATGGAATATCTCTCTTGACCTTAGTATGACTGGCTTTGCAAGGGGCAAACTGAGCATATGGCTTGTCAGGGTGCTCAGATTTTAGGCAGTCAAAATATTCTGTGTCAATAGAGGATCCACTTCCTGTTAGACTTGAGTTTAAATCCTTAACTTTAGCGGTTTCAAAACATAGAGATGCAACAGAACAACTACTAAAAGACTTTTTGGAGGAAGTGGTTTCTTTGAGTCCATAGTCGAATTTATCAACGTTACTCTCACTACTTAAACTTTTGAACAGTTTACGGACATATGGGCCTTTAATACTGTGTCCCCTCACACAATTTCTAGGAGGCGTTTTAAGGATTCGATTGGTTAATGGATCATAATACTTAAGAGGAGATTGCTTATATTTATAATTGGCAGAGTCTCTGCTGTCAGTTGAGTACTGGTTTCGGCCACTCCTCAAAATGTAAGCTGGTTTGCCAGTAAAACATTTTATATCAGGATGTGAAAGAACATACACCATTGTCTTTGGTTGTAATGGAGTAAAAATTTTGGTATATGATTCTGGAAGTTTCAAAGCACACATTCTAGTTTGCATGTCTGGAGTCATTTCCCCTTCCAAATCATTAAAAATAACGTGGTCTGAATGTTGTCCAAGTTCATTTTTATTCACTTTCTTTCGAACTACCGGATAATTTACGAGACTTGTTTGGGTTCCATGACTGACCTTAACTATCTGGCACCTTGAAGCAAGTCTCCAAATTCTTCTGCAAGGCATTTTTATTTCTGTCTTTACCACTTTCTCTGATTTCACAGAGGGAATATCAGAATCATTGTCTGCATAAGAAAAGTCATTTAATGTTGGTGGTGTAGTATCATCTTTGGGTAGTTTCCAATTATTAGTCTCAAGTAAAATCTTCATTTCATTTTCTTCACTTTCAAATTTTCTCTTGCACTTCCTGCTGCTACTTCCACTTTCAAAGTAGCAATGGAACTTTCCTTTTCTGAACTGCTGTACAAGGGCTTCAATTTTTAAATCATCTTCATATTTTATTTGTGACCATGTTTTACCAACAAAAGATGGAGGCACATGGGGCAGTGCTGGTAGAACCTCTTCATCAATTTCTGCTTTTATACCCTCTGGCTCCTTAACAGGATATGGACCAAGAACTGATTTTAACTTTGACTTGTACTCTTCATCAATGTTGACAATTTTATCTTTGAGTACATCCACATTTTTTAGGTCTGTCTTTGAGAGATCCTCTTCAGATTTAATTTGTACATCCCAGTCAAAGCTTAGACTTGAATCCTCCGTACAGCCAAGAACTGAGTTGATGTTAAGTGATGAGATGGTGTCCTCTTCCTTCCCTACTGAAGATTCAGAATTTCTATAGCAGTATTTCCAAATTACTTCTTCAATAATTTCATCCACTGTTGATCTTTCCCCCTGTGACAAATAAAGTCCTTTGCTATGAGTTGGGTTATTAGTTTCACTTTCTTTAGAACATTTAGTATGTTTCAAGTGACGATCAACAACATGATCCCTGAGGATATGATCAAGGTTTCCCTGAGATTCCATACCACTTAGTTTCCCACATTGTATACCTGATGTCAGGTTTAAACAGCTGCCTTGGGAAGCGAGTGGTTTAGCGTGTAAACATCTCATAGTTTTTGTAGTCACATCAAAATGTGGGCACTTATCAATGATTTCACACACACTTGTCTCTAGAATATTTTTCTTCTTGGTTCCTTGATTTAGTGCAGAATGAACTGTTTGAGAGCAAGGAATATTATTTGCATTCTTTGAGCAGCAGGGATAGTTATTTGTACAGAGTAAGCTTTGAGGTACTGTATCTACTCCAGTGGTTAAGGCTTTCTGGACAACAGTCAGAATGCAGTCAGAAGTAACATTTTGCTTTCGAAGTTGTTCATCTGTGGAACAATGCTCGATTTTAAGCTTTTCATTGTATGGATGCCATACAGCAATATTTCTAGAGTTGTACTTTGATGTGGATGGGTAACAATTACTTGAGTCAGAAATAGACTGGGTGTGTTCAGGATGGGACTTAGTAGGCACTAATTTGTGATTTTGTACAAGCAGAGGTGCATCGGAACAAACTTCTGGTAATCTTGGGCTTATGGAAATATCAGGTATGTCATCATACGTTGGTCTATAAAAAACAAAACAAAAACAAAGGTAAAATATGAAAATATGCATTTTTTAGTTAGTTATTCATGCAACATTCCTAATGCCTCCAGCTTCAAATCAACAAAATATATAAGAATGTAAAAATATTGTTAAATTAAAAACATTACACATTCTACTTTATTTATTGCTTTTGCAGTGCTGCAATGCTTTGCATTTTTATGCAGGTTAAAATATAGCTGACCAAAAACAACTATAAATACACAGCTAGTTGAATCAACATAGAAAATGATAAGTTCAGCATTTATCAAAAGGTTCTGCTCGGGCTCGGCATACAAAATTGACCAATTCAGCAAAATAAGTCCAACAAAAATAACTGTTACTTGTCCATTTTGTGCAATATATTAGCAGAAATTGTTGAGATTTTTATTTATTTAATAAGTTAGGCACAATAATATAATATATAAATACTCATTATTATTATTTTTTGTAAATAAGAAATATAAAAAAAGAGTAGCAAGAATCATGACTAAGCACTTAAATATTATGTAAAGGAAAGCAAGAATATTACCGGAGAATGTTCAACCTCATAGCAATTAAAAACTCCAGTTTTATTATGCATTTATTACATTATATAGATATATGTGCGTTAAAAAACAAAAACAAAAAAACATATTTACCAGAAATTAGTGTGCTGGCTTCAAATACCATTTGCCGGTTCTAGAGCTAGAAACCCTGTATTCCTAACACTTTAGTGCCCCCTGTCTCTAGCTAGATATAGGTCTCCCATATTTGCAGTGAAATAAATGAAAACTTTTACTCACCTTTTTCCAGCTTTGAGTCTCTTTTCTCTCTCTGCGTTTCAGAAGAAGCATGGCCTCCTCAACAGTTGGTCCAACATAATGCAAGCACCGCCTGTGCTTCCAAGCTTCCCCATGGGTAGCTTCAATAGGTTTAATACTTTTTTATAGAGGCTCCCATATCACAACAGAGTTTTACTTGGTCAGTGCAACGGAAGTGCCTTTAGTGTCAGTATGGCAGCCTAGTGAAGCGTCTTTAGTGTCACTGTGGCAGCCACTAGAAGTAGACTTAACCCTGTAATGTAAACATTGCAGGTTCTAAAAAACTGCAATGTTCTACACTTCATAGTTAAAACAAAATCATGACTGCACCCTGGCCACTTCATAGGAAGTAGCCTGTGTGACTTTAGTGGTCCTTTAACGTCACAATTAGAGGGGATAAAATAGTGTATGCATTTAAGCACCGATTCAAGGTGTAGTTGATTAAAAAAGTAACAAGAAACTGACACACCCCCATATGAGTTATGATCATCTGTATATTCAACCAATACATTGTTTGAAACCATATGAGAAGTGCCTTAAAACAGATGAGAAAATGTAATTTCATGTTCTATGCATTTCGTAGATCCTACCATGCAAACAATATTGAACGTGGGGCCATCTGTTAAAATGTTGTTTCAGCTGATAACAGAAATTGTTGTCAATGTAACCATGATATGTTCCCTTTTAATACATGATTTACATTAGAATTAAACAGTAATTTAATATATGTGAAAGTACATAAAATACATATTTTTACGCGTGCACAGTAAAAAACAGTTTAGTTCTCTAAATTCATGGAAAATATGGGTATGGTAAATACTTTGCAGGACAATGTTGAGTTTGCAGAGATGGATTATTCGAACAGATGGATATAATATATCTCCATATTTAATGACGGCTCTTAACATTTGCTACTCCATTACATTGATAATATTTGGCTTACAACATCCAGGATTCTGATCTTGGTTGTTAATGTAGTTTTTAATTATAATAAATAATGCTAATGAAATTATACACCATAGAAAGCAAAATTAAGGCTTATCCCAAACTGGCACTGCACAAACCAAACACTTCAGATATATTAATACTATATATACATATGTAGAAGTGGTAAAGGCAAGCAGTAAAAATTAAAAATCCCAGTCATAGCACATCACGTGAAAAGTTTTGTCCAGAGTAGCTTTCCCTTTAAATGCCTCTTTCACCTGAAACTTGCCTTTCAATAAAAAGTTACAGGTTTACCAGAGTACGAGGAGATCCAGTCAATTTCTGCTCTGGGGAGAACTTTCCACAGGAACTAGAAAACATAGGAAATGTAATGTGTATCTAAATAAAAAAAATATATTGAGAGGCCAATTATGTATGTCCATGTAACAGCCCTTTAATTCGTCATTGCACTAACTTTCTTACAGTCATAATAGATCCGATCAGTGCCTAATTCAGTATGACGACTCTGTAAATAATATTTTCAGATAAAATCAGGAAAAAGTTATAATCCAATGCACCAGGAAAAAAAAAAATATCTCACCTAGTATCTTGATAATTCTGTGGATGATAAAGATGGACATCATGTAGGAAACGCTCCATCATGACGCTGGGATTTAATGGAATCCTTTTACAACCAGAAATCTGTTTGTGTTGGTCACTTGCAAGGTGCTGTAGGAGATAGATATCATACAACATAAAGTACAATTCAAGTATAACAATGAAGGTAACTACAGAAAACAAAAAAAAATAACAATGGATGACAATCAATATGCAGAATACTCCCCCACCCCCCCCCACCCCCCAAAAAAAAAGAAAATAACAACAATCAGTCTTTAGTATAAAAAAAAAAAAAAACAACAACAAAAAAAACAGTTCTGTCTTGTTTGTCTTTGCAGAAATACATGCCTCTGGCTGTGTATTCTGGGAATTGTAGTTCAATAAAACTGGAAATGTTGGCTATGCCTTTTATGCACCATTGGAATATAAAATGTATGTAAATTTGTTCTTATTTTGCCTTTCTGCATATTTTTAATGGCATTATAACCACTGTAGCACGCTGTAGTAGTTACAGTGCTTGCAGTATTCTTTTAAAGGAATTAAGTGAAACATGTATTAGGCCGTCTTCAAGAACAAATAGGCAAAATCAGTTGGAGATTTCATAAATCTGGGACATTTGGTTCTTGCCTGTCACAATGAATCATGATTTTATGTGACACAAAAGATGAGTGAGGAAGACGTTAAATAATGGTGATGTTGCTCCAGATGCGCATTCTTGTAAAAGGTGGTACAGACTATCAATTACATTACTTTGACAGAAGGAAAATCTGTACAAAGATTAGTAAAATAATGATGTCGACTTCACTCAGTGTTGGTTGTTTCTAGATAAAACAGGTCTTATAATAAAAATACCTTACCTTTTCTAAGTTGATATAATGTACTTGGCAGCAACTGCAGTATCCTTGTCTGTAGTGTCCTGGGGGTAAACCACTTCCTGAGTGCTCTGGGATTTGTACACCTCCACTACAAAGACATATACATTCATATGTATTTGTGAAATTCTAGGACAGTAAGCCAGTACCAAGCGCAGTTTCTAATGGTTCGTGAGGAAAAGTTCAAAAAGTGGAATTATCACTGGAAACCAATGTAATGTTTATATGGAGTAGTAAACAACACTTTGCTCCAGAACTGTTATTTACACATAACTCCCTAACTGAATAATAATAATTATTATTATTATTTTAATTATTATTTTTGTACTCCATCTTTTTGCCCTCTTTATTTACAGGCCTAACCTACCTGTCGGTTTTGGAATACTTCAGCCAATTTTGTCACAGGTAGTTATCACATATGGCCTTGGTCCCAAAACACAAATGTTTAGGCCATAAGGGCTAAAGTTGTGGGGGGAGTTAAGTGGCCTTTAAAACAGCAGCGGTCCAAACCTTAAGACCACAGGCTTTTTGGCCAAAATCCACCCTCCTCCAATTGTAACTTTTACTTCATTCTCCAGGTATGCCCTCTTTATTTACAGGCCTAACACACCCTTTGGTTCTGGTACACTTCAACTAACATTATCATATGTAGTTATGTCACACACAGCCTTCGTCCCTGAACACATATATTTGAAGTAAACTCAAAAAAACTAATGTTCATGGGGAATGCTAAAAAATAACAAGATAAGCTTTACAACTAATTGACTGGCATACACGCTTTCCTGAAAAAAAAAAACAGAGCATAAACGGAATATCTTACATCAAACATTAGAAATGCACAAGTCTCGGGATATACCAACTTGGTAACAAATACAAAAGAAACAAACTGAAAGCAATGCATTTAGTAGAAAGCTAGGTCAATATATTAAAGGGACACTATAGTCACCTAGACCACTTCAGCTCAATGACGTGGTCTGGGTGCCAGGTCCCCCAGGTTTTAACCCTTCAGATGTAAACATAGCAGTTTCTTACTGACAGCCGCTAGAGGCGCTTCTGCGACGCTGGATGAGAAATTTGCATCCAGCGTGCAGAACGTGCATAGGAAAGCATTGAGAAATGCTTTCCTATGGACTGATTGAATGCACGCGCTGTTCTTGCCACACATGCGCATTCCGCTCCACTTGGGAGCTGACTTGGTGAGGGAGGAGAGGTCACCAGCGCCAAGGGAGCCCGGTTCTGGATTAACGTAACTGAAGGGGTTTTAATCCCTTCAGCGCCAAGGAAGGGGTGCCCTGAGGGTGGGGGGTCCTAAGTTATATAGTGTCAGGAAAACAAGTTTGTTTTCCTGACACTAAAGTGATCCTTTAATAAGAAAAGGGCATTTAAAGCATATAAATATAAAATATAAGGAAACCAATAATGTCTGCAAAAAGGTAAATAGATCGGCTAAACTAGAAAATGTAAAAGTGTCAGCAAGAGAGACTGAACCCAAAAAGATTTTAAGAACATAAATGCAAAATATTCCAAAAAGTATTAAAGTATATTTCACAGAAATCAGAGATGCTTGTGCTAGTAAATGAAAATCAGGAAAGACAGAACACTGAAATAATTATTTTTCTTCAGTACATATCAAGGAGGAACCAATAGCTAGAGATATGCAAAACAGAGTTGCAAAAAAATATGCAGAAATATTGTGATTGGATGTCTCAATACAATGTGTTACAGCAACCGAAGAAAGTTAATATTAACAAAGTCCCAAGTCCGGATGGTATTCACCCATGTGTGCTTAAAGTGCTAAATGTGGAAATAAGCAAACCTCTGTTTTAAATTTTTTAGGATTCCTTTCTTTGAGGTATCAGCAGCAATCAACATAGTTTTATGAAACATAGATTGTGTCAAACTAATTTAATTGCATTCTACAAAGAAATAAGTAGATGTATAGATCCGTGAGTTGCACTGGATGTTATCAACTTGGATTTTGCCAAGGTATTCAATAAAGTTACAGACAACAGGTTAATGTTTAAATTAAAAGAAATTGGTCTAGAAGTAAAATTTTGTTAGGGAAAACAACAAATGAGAAGGAATGGAGAATTGTTATAGACATCAAACCAGGCAACAATGTCCAATGTCAACCAGCAGTTCCTAGGGCCAATAAGGTATTGTCATGTATAAAAAGGGGCATTCATTTTTGGGATGAAGATAAAATATTGCATTTCTATAAACCAATGGTAAGACCACACCCTGAATATGCCAATAGGTGTCAATTTTTGGCACCTGTTCCAAAAAGGATATCAAGGCACTAGAAAAAGTGCAGAGGTGGGCTACAAAATTCTTTAGGGTAATCAGAATTTTAGTTATGAAATCCTGTGTGGTTTTTCAACATGCTGGATGATGTCATGCTAAGAGTGAGCACATCCAGCATTGTTTTACAAAGTCAAATTCCGTGAAACTGCAGGAAGCACCTCTAGTGGCAGTCTCAACACAGCAAATGTATGTTATACATTGCAAGGTTAAGGGAACAGACACACTGCACCAGGGACATATTAGCCGCAAGGCAAACAAGGCATTTGCCTAGGGTAGCATTTTCCAGGGGGCGGCAAAAAACGCAGCCCCCAAATGTCCAGGGCAAATGTCTTGTTAGCCTGACAAGCCGGGCGGGTGGCGCTGGCGAGGGAGCACTTTCCCCTCAGCTGTCTGCTCAGCTCCCTCGCGGGCCGACCTCAGAGTGATGCTGGGAGCGGGAATATGACGTGCCTAGGGCAGCACAAAACCAGGATACACCACTGCACTGCACACAGCCCACTTCAAATGAAATTAAATGGTTTTGGTGCGTACAGTGTCCCTTTAATAGGAAATGAGGTCACTCATTTAGAGAGAGAAGGGAAATGTCTACGGCAAAGGAAAGGGATCTTTATAGTAAGAATAATAAAGTTGTGGAATTCTCTTCCTGAAGAGGTGTTTTATCAGAGTCTGAATAGATTTCTAAAAAATAACTAGATGAATTCTTGAAAATGTATAATATTCAGGAACATAATATTTAATATGTGGGTTAACAGCTTTTTGATCCAAGGAGATGTCTAACATTCTGAGGTCGAGATGGATTAATTTTCTAGTTTGTTGCAAAATTGGAAAGAGTGTCAAACTCTGGTGTTTACCTTCTTTTGAATTAATTAGATGTGAGAAAAGCTGAATTTGATGGATGCAAGACTATTTTTGTTTTTTTCAGCCTATGTAACAACTATGTGTTGTTCTGCTGAGTATAATTGGAGGCTAAAGACAAGTCAAATTTCAAGAGAGCCATCATGTGGTTATGGATGGAAAGTAAAGGGATGTCCCTATGCATTCCTGAATCAAAATCAGAAGATTGCCCCAGGATATAAATTTTCAGCTAAGGGGTTCAACGAGGACTAATTAATATGTAAAGTTAGACACGGACAAACATTTAGTAAGTAGTAAGTAGTATGGGAGAACAATAGTAAAGGAACACTTAACAAATGAAAGCCCTGTCGATTTTTTTTTTTTAATGAACAAAATTAACAAAAAACATGATATAAAATTCTGAGAATATGAGATCTCTAAGGGGAACAGCTTTGAGAAACTCAGTAGCTTGCCCTTCGGTTACTCCCCGCTCATGGCTAAAAAAATGTTTTTGCACACTTTCTCACCTATAAGAGAACCGAAATGCTGTCAAATTTTGGTTCTGGACTACCCTTAGGGTGAGATCAGTCTGATATGCAAATGGTATAGGTTCTCTTTGTATTGGCACTAGTGAGCAAAAACATTTTTGAGACCTGAGAAGGACTAACCAAAAGGCAAGCAACTGAAGTTCTCTAAACTTTCATCTGGTCTCATATTCTCTGTTTTTGTTTCGATGCATTTGCTTGGGCTCTTCCTAAGCTAAAAGGGTAATCCAAACTTGGACCCCATGCTCACTGTGCCTAGAGGTTAATCTGCTACACCTCGCTGATGAAGCCCAAAGAAGGCCGAAATGATCGTCCCTGGTCGCTGTATGTCTCGTTTAGAGAGGACTTGTTAGCATTTCGGTTCTGGACTGCCCTTATGGGTGGGATCAGATTAATATGCAAATGGTATAGGTTCTCTTTGTAATAGCACAAGTGAGCAAAAATATTTTTGAGACCTGAGCAGGGACTAACTCTCTCATATTCTCTGGTTATATTAACAAAAAAAAAAAAAAAAAGGATGGGAATGTGAGATAAAACTAAATGTTTGGTAGTGGTTATGGTGCCAGGACTACCTGGCCCTCTCCTTAGTTAAGCAGCCAGCTGTCTGCAAATGGTTTGACAACTCACCTGGAGTCCGCCAGGCATTTGCTATCTCTTTCAGGAGAGTCAGGATTTCACTGCAATGACCTAGCCCAGTGGTGCAGGGGTTAGCCCATTGATTGAGAGAGCTCAGCAGAGAGCCAATAAACCTTCCCTGGGCCAACCTCCACCCCTTCTGGAGACTGTGACCGGTGCATGATAGACCCAATGTAAGCTGTCAAACTGTTTGCAGGACTACTAACCCTGGTAGGGAACCAGAGCACTCTTAGAATCATAATTACTACAACACACTGTAGTGGTTATGGAGTGTTCCTTCAGAGTAGAACGGTCGCTTCTTAGAAGTGACAATTCATCATTCCTCCACCCTATTAAAACTATTGAATCATTTATCATGGTGAGCAGTGCTGCAGAAGAAACAATGCACTTAACTCTGCAAAGCTACCATGTTTAGGGAGACGTATCCTCCCTTGTTGCTCAGGGCATGCTCATGGACGCTCAGGCATCTGCTGAGAAGTGCTGTACAAATGGAAAAAGGCATTCCTTCCATATTTTATTTTATTTTTTCAAATTAATTTATTTATAATTTTCATAAATTATTTAATACAATACATATCATACCAAAAGGCAATATGACAATAACTATAGACATAGATCACAGGCAGGCGTGGGTATGGTCCCCAAAGTCATTAGGTGGCCATATATCCACGTCTTTTAACATACAGATAATCACTAAGACAAACAATAATACAAACACTGCGGGTGCGGGACCTTTTACTAATTTGGTTTATAGTAAACCCAATGCTTTAGATATACATCTGCTCTTTTAGGCCACCATATTAAAGAGTAGTAATCTTTTCTATTAGTTCTCTATAAATGGATGTAACTCTTTATCCCGAATGGTAAATATATAAAAGGCATATTATTCTCCATATCCAGGTGAAAAAGCAGTTGCTTTATGAATAGTGATTTCGTTGGAATTATCACTTGCTTCCAGTGTCTAGCAATCAATATTTTAGCTGCCATTAGACAATATGTTATCAGAATATTATATTGTTTATCCCCCAACAAGCAATTTATATTAAACAGAAAAATTTCTGGGTTTTTTTTTGTTTTTTTTTCAATTTGACAATTTTTATTGGTTTCACCAGTGGTACAGAAGAGAAAAAGGGTGGAGGGGGTTACATGAGTTGCAGTCATCGAACATTTTAAGGACAGTGATACAGTGATACAGCAATACAGCGTCAAATACGGCTTTTCATGTACAACATTGCCGTTCCCTCGTCCTGGTGAGCAATTATCCAGTAACAATAGGGGGAGGAGGAGGGGATGAGGGTACAGAAGTGAAATGGGAAAAAGGGGGGGGGGAAAACTCCCAGATTTTGATTCATCTTAAGTCGCCTTTCGTTGATGCTCATTTGGCTCACATGCATTTCCATTATGGGTTTAGAGCCATTGTTCTCATTGGCCTTATCTTGGCATATCCTCCTTGTTATTTCCAGCCTGTACGCTCCTTTGAGCTTTTCGTGAAGCGTGGTCCTGCACTTTGGCTCCCCTCTTTTAACCAGTTCAAAACTGTAAACTATACAACTATGTACATGTGGGTTTCTATGCGTAGTGGTCTGCTATCACCTCTCCCTCTGTGTTTCACTTCCCCTCCCTGCCCACCCCCAACACCCACTTTGCATGGGCCAGGTTGGCATATTTGTTTGAGGGACTTTGCCTATTCAATCCCTTTTCATATATCAGATTCGTAGTGATTTGTTGAATCAGGGCCTCACTAGTGGGTGCATGATCTTGCTTCCATGCCCTAGCTATTAGGGTGTTTGCCGATATGAGGATATGAAATAGTAGACGTGAGTCTGTGATGTTGAGCTCTTCCAACCCCATAAACAGGAGTCCGCACTCCGGTGTAAGTGTGAGTTCTCTGACTAGGGCCGTTCTCACTATCTCCTCAACTTCCCTCCAGTATGTTGCTACTTTCGGACACGTCCACCATATATCATACATTGTTCCCCTGTCTTTTTGACATCTCCAGCATTGCCATTCGCTCCGGTACCAGCGGTATTGGATTTTGCGCATTTGTTCCAAGTGAGAGGCACAACTCGTCCTCTTCTTGTGCGCTAAGAATGCTTTTCCCCATTGTTGGTCAGTGAAAGTTTTACCCATGTCCTCCTGCCAAGCTTCCTTGAATTTGTCTGGGGGGGGTCTGTGTGCGATTGGATCAACATATTATAAAGGGTGGATAATAGTTTCTTAGGCTGTTTCGTGGCTGTACACATCTGTTCGATGTGCTTTGTATTGGCCGTTGCAGTGGAGCCGTTGGACCCCTGTATCATGGATTTTAACTGTAGGTATTGGAAAATGGTGTTGTGTGGTAGCGTGTATTTCCTTTGTATGTCTGGGTAGTCAAGTAGTTTGTCCTTGTCATATAGGTGGCTTACTCTATGGCACCCCCGGCTTATCCAAGGTCTGTAGTCAAAGGCTGCGTTTGCAAGGTGTAGGCTGTATAGGGGAGTCGCTTGCGCCCACCCCCTGTCTTGTCCTCATTGTTTTGTGGCCGTGTCCCATACCTTCAATAAGAGTTGTGTCTGTGGGGTATCCAAAACAGGTATTTCAGACCCTTGGGACACGCCCAAGAGGCCTCCATGTCCACCCACTGTGGTACTTCCTCACTGGTGTGTGTTTGTATAGCCGTGGCCAGGATAGCCGCCTTATAGTACTGCCGAACGTCCGGCATTCCCAGGCCTCCATTTGCTTGCTGCCTGCACAATATTTTCGCTGCCACTCTTACTTTTTGATGGGCCCATATGAAGCCCTTGTGTAGGTTATCTAGGTAGCTTTTTGGTACGCGGATTTGTAAGGTTCTTATTAAATATTGGAATTTCGGCAGCACTATCATTTTTACTGCGGCCATCCTTCCCAGCCACGACAGGAATTTGCCTTCCCATCCTTTCAATGTATTTGCTATAGACTTCAGCAATGGGTCATAGTTCGCGGCTATGAGGTTTGTTGTTTTTTTTTGTGATATTGATGCCTAAGAAAGTTAAATGGTCTTGTCTCCAATCTAGTGTGAATGACCTCTGTAGCAGGTCCAGTGTACCTCCCGGGATACCCACCCCCATGGCCTGTGTCTTTGTTATGTTGAGTTTGTAATATGAGTGGGTACCGTATGTGGTTATCTCTTTCAATAGGTTGGGGAGGAAGATCTGGGGTTGGGTAAGTGTCAGCAGGACATCATCTGCAAATAAGTTGGTAGTATATTCTCGTTCATTGATCCTGACGCCATGTATGTTTGGGTTATTTCTTATCTTTACCGCTAACGGTTCTAGGGCTAAAACATATAGCAGGGGTGACAAGGGGCACCCCTGTCTGGTGCCGTTGGATAGTGTTATTGGTTCTGAGAGGAATCCTGAGTTAAGCACCTGGGCTCTCGGCGAGCTATACAGGGCTTCCACTACTGAAACAAACCCCTCCGGGATATCAAACTTACTCAACACTGCACGCAGGAATTTCCAGTTTAGGCGATCAAAGGCCTTCTCTGCATCCAGGGAGACCATCAGTCCCCCTTGTTTCTGTTTGCGGAGGTAGTGCAAGATATTTAGTACTTTCCTAGTATTATCCGATCCCTGCCTCCCCTTGATGAAGCCTACTTGATCGTTGTGGATAATTGTTGGCAATATTGACCCTAGCCGTAGTGCGTATGTTTTGGCCAAGATTTTAGCGTCAGTGTTTACCAGGGATATGGGCCTAAAGTTCTGTGGGGTTGTGGGTGGCTTCCCTGGTTTAGGTAGGGTAACTATGTGCGCATTTAACATCTCAGGGGGTAGAGCTCTATGTGCAGTGGCTTGTGTGTAGGCTTTGACTAGGTATGGCGCTAGTGTGGTACTGAACTTCTTGTAGTACATGTTGTCTAACCCGTCAGGTCCCGGGGCCTTGCCCGATGGTAGGGTCCTTATTACATCCCTTAATTCCTCTTCACATAGTGGTTTTGTGAGTGCCATCTGCTGTTGGGCGGTGAGTCGGGGCAGGTGTGTGTCCCTCAGATACATCTGTATGTCTCCCTCTATTGGTTGCGGGGTCAAGTCGCAGATTGTACAATTTCTCATAATAATGTGCGAACTCATCGCTGATGGCTTTTGGGGTGGTCAGTTTCATGCCTGTGTGTGAGGTCTGGATGGCCCACAAACCGGTGGTACGAGGTCTATTAATACGTCGTACCACCGGCGTATTGTCGTGTCTTAAGTCTGTGCGCTAGTAGTTTGCTAGCTTTGTTGCCCTGGGTATATTGTTGTAACTTCAGGCAGTTTAGGTTGTGTTCTGTGCGTTCTAGTGCTTGTGTGTGCAGGCGTCTAGTGATTTGGATTATGCGTCGGCGTCTGTCATCCGTGGGGGAGATTTGATTCTCCAGATTTAAGTCATAGAGTTCTCTTTGTAGCTCTAGTGTTAGTTTTTGTGACTGTTTTCGGAGGTATGAAGCCCGACGTATTAATAGACCTCGTACCACCGGCTTGTGGGCCATCCAGACCGTTGTAGCCGACACCTCAGGTGTCTCATTTTCCGCAAAATACTGTTTCATATTTGTGGTCAGGTCGGCCACAAACTGCGGATTTAGAAGAAGAGAATTATTGATTCTCCATGGGCTGTGGTGTTTGAAGTCGTATAGGTCTTTCACTTCCAGAAGTACTGGCGCATGATCTGACCATGTAATATGTGCTATGTCGCAGTTTAGGATTTGATTGAGGTGGGAGCCCTGGAGGAGGAATCCATCTATTCTAGAGTAAGAGTTGTGGACAGATGAGAAGTGCGTATATGCCTTCTCCGAGGGATGTGTGATTCTCCATGTATCGTAGTAGTGGTATTTGTGTAGTAGGGACTGGAGGGCTTTGCCCTGGGGTCTAAGGGTTTTATATCGGCCACTAGCTCGGTGTGTGGTTGAGTCCATGGACGGGTCAAGAATGTGGTTGAAGTCATCGCAAATGAGTGTTATACCGTGTTGTATAGGCACTAGGGTTTGAAAAATTTTGTGTAGGAAGTTTCTCTGGTTCTGACTGGGCGCGTATTTATTTGCGATGGTGTACTCTATGTCATTGATCGTTCCCACTATCACTACGTATCTGCCCAATTGATCTATATGTTGTGATTTTAGGGAGAAGGATACATGTCTACTTATCAGTATGGAAGTACCTTTAGCTTTAGTCGGGGAAGTAGAGTGGAATTGATGTGGATATTCCGACTCCATAATCTGTGGATGGTCCTAGGTACGGAAGTGGGTCTCCTGCAGACACACCACCTCTGCACATTGTTTCTTAAGCTCTCGGTATAGTAAGTGTCTTTTAGTTGGGATGTTCAGTCCCCTCACGTTGTGTGTGTATATTTTCATGTAGGGTCAGACATGTAGGGTTGTGCTGAGTATTGCGAGTGTTTGTTGGTTGCGGGATGACACGCTCCTCCCAGTGCTATCAAGTGGAGCAAGGCCACCCCTAGGGTCTGTAGTGACTTCCCATAGGTGATTGTATGCGCCCTATCCTGATTGTTAGAAGTGAGACCACCCACTAGGTCCCCATCCCAGTCCCCAGCGGTGCGGGCAACAGGCCTCCTCCCACTGAGTACCGTAACACAACAATATAACCAAACAACAACAAAAGTATTTACAAAGTTGAACCATGCCCTGTTTGTGGCTTGGCACTTCACCCAAGTGCCTTGGGGGTAGAAGCTTAGTGCTCCTTTGCCTGGGAGGTTACGTGCGCTGCGTGCCGGCCTTTTTGTCTGTGGCAGTATGTACCTTTAATTGCGTTTTCAATGGTTAGTTTAACTTCAGTTTTTTTGTTTGTTTTTTTTGTTTGATTTATCCATTTGTACTAATCTACGTGACCCTTATTCTGGGCGGCTTGGTGCAGCATAGTTGCCTCTTAGGGATCCCAATCCTTTTAATACTCAGAGTTATCTCTTATTTCTACACCCTGGTGCTGTACCCGCCCTGCTTATGGTTACTAGGGAGTTAGCTAGGTATGGATTAACCTTTGGGTAATAAAGATTACAGTGACATAAACATTTGTGCATTATGATACTTGCGGCTCGGCACAGTCTGTGGCTTTAGGCCCTCTCAGGCCCCACGAGTCTACAGTCTATGTGCGTTTCGCTCGATTCCAATCCGGTGTTAACCTTCTTGGCTCTTTAGACCGGTTGTGCTGGTGTTCTCTTTCTATACCCCATTCTCTCAGGGCATCTGTCCCTTCCTCTGGAGTTGATATTACTGTGGTCTTCCCTGCTCTTTGCACCAGCAGCTTGACTGGATATCCCCAGCGGTATAATATGCGGTGTTCTCTGAGCGCTGCAGTGGTGTCCTGGAATTCTCTCCTCCTTTGAAGGGTGAATGCGGAGACATCCGCGAATAGCATGATGCTGCGGTACTGCTCTGGTAAGTCCTTGCGTGTTCTACTACTCTTTAGAATAGCCTCTTTGGCATGATAGTAGTGCATACGCACCAGTATGTCCCTGGGTGTATCTTGGGGCAGGAACTTAGGTCTCGCCGTCATGTGGATGTGGTCAAAGAGGAGCATGTCGTGTGGAAGGTCTGGCACCGTGTAAAATGACAGGAAGCATCGCGAGATCACAGAGGAAAGGTAAGAATTATGGGAAAATTGCTCTGACCAGCGGAAATGAAGCACACTTTGCTCCTCCGCTGGTCAAAGCTGGTCAAGTGGAGGAAACCTCCATAAGGCAGAGTCCCTACTTTGTCTTATGATTTTAAAGAAAACTAAAGAAGACAGGAAGAAAAGAAGAACAGATCATGAAAGAGGGGGAGAAGAGGAAGAGATTGAGGAAAGGTAAGTTCGGCATGACAGTGCCGCTTTGAGAAACCCTTGGACTCGAAGGTATTTAAATATTTCTTGTTGAGAAAGATTGAATTTCTGCTTCAATATATCAAAAGACAATAATTGATCATTTTCACATAGTTCCCCTATTGTATAATTGCTTTGATTAGTCCAACTTCTTAAATCAAGGTCATGCATTATTTTCTCTAATATTCTAGTCTTAGAACCTTCAAAAATCTTATTATTCATTTTTAAATCTTTCTTTATATCTTGCCATTCTTTCAAAGTTTGTGATATTATCAGTGATTTCTCAATATAATTTATAGGTTTCTTTCTTCCTATATCATTCCACAAAAGGAAAGCAAGGTTGCTTTTACCTACTCTACTTGCTTCAAACTTATACCACGACTGATCCATCAAATCGCTAACATGAAATTTGTGGACATGCATAATCATATTCGCCTGATAAGTGTTTCTAATTATCGGATATCCTATTCCCCCATGGTGGTCTTTTTTGGACAAAATCCTAATATTTATTCAAGGTCTTTTGCCTCTCCAGATATAATTAGTAAAGCTGGACTGTACAATATCAAGCCATTGCTTTGGAATTGCCAAGGGAAGCATTCAAAATAAATATGTCCACTTGGGGAGGATATATGCTTTAAAAGTGTTTATTCTCCCCAACTAAGAAATTTAATAACATCTCCATTCCCTTAATAGCGTCTTAGTGTGTTTAATAAGTCTTTAAAAATTTACTTACATTATTACTCTTAAATCTGCAGTAATATCAACACCCAAATATTGTATAGCCTTTGATGATCAAGTAACATCAAAATCCTTTTTAAGATCATTGGCATCAATGTTTGAAATTAGAACCGATGTTTTATTCATATTTAATTTATAGTTCGATGCTATACTATATCTTTTAAATTCCTGCATTAAATGGGGAAGGGAAAAATATGGGTCTGTTACTGAAATAAGGATGTCATCGGCAGGCATACCTTTAATTCTCTGTCTTTTAGAGACAGCCCTTTGATCAGAAGGTTACTTCTAATATTAATAGCAAATGGTTCTATAGATAATATACATAATAAAGGGGACAGCGGGTACCCCTGCCTCGTTCCATTAGATAAATCAAACCAATCGGTACAAAAACCTCACTTAGCCGAAGGAGAGGAATATAGCGTACCAATCGCATCTGCAATCCAACTCATTGCCAATTTCTCCTGGCTTTAAATATGTCTTGCCATCTTTTATTATTTTATAGATTTTGTCGGTTTTTGTTTTCTTTATTTTATTAGTTAACATCTCATCTACTCTATTATTCCCGTAGTAGAATTTGGTTTTTAATCTTCTTACATTGGATTCTATTCTTTCAGATATCTTTATATTTATCTTTTCTCAATATATTTTTTTATTTTCTCTATCTATTGAAAAATCACCCTTTTTGAGCAGCAAGATTATAGTACTGAATATATAAATCAGATTTAATCCGCTGTTCTTAATTTCTTGACTTGCTATTTTAATCCAATAACGCCTTATTAATGATTTAAAGGTGCTCCAAAGACATTCAGAAGAAATCTCCTCTGATGAGTTTTCTTCAAAAACGTGTACAGACATTTTGTTTATATACTCTATATTTTCTACTAATTTTAATAAATCATCCCTCAATCTCCATGGGGGTGGGGATCTCTGATACATATCCTTTATATCCGCAATCAACATATCATGATCCGACCATGTATTATCACTTATAATAATTGTTAGTAATTATCCCTTACTAATTGGGTATCCCATAAGATCAGATCAATTGTAGCAGCAGAACTATAAGGAACTGATCTGTGTATCCTTCCATATTTATTGAAAAGGTGCGTATATTTGGTTAAAAACAATAAGAAACAGGGTGCTACTATCACCTATGTGGGTCACTCCACCACACATAAATAAGTGAAAATAAAATAGTAAAAGTGGTGAGAGCACACACAAAAGATAAAATAAATTTTGTTACCCCTATGATCAATTAAAATCCAGATCCAGGACAAATGGTGAGTATGTCTTCCATATTTATGCTCACAGTATGAAAGCGATAGGATTAAATTATTTTAGGTTATATGGCATGCTATGACTGTGTCCAGAAAGTCAATTATGCAATTTTAACAAACAAAAATGAAAAAAACAACACTTTTCTATTATATTTGTGTCTCAAATTACAGATCCATTTTAATAGTTTTCTAACTTCAACTGCTTTTTGTCCTCGCATTGTTTTATTTCATTAACTGGTAATACTTTCTTGATTAATTACTGTTTTTACATTTCAGATATAGTAATAGTGCCACGTATTCATCCTCACCTTGTGATGTTTGCACTGAAAATTGCATTCCTATCGGTAATGAAGGTGCCGCCCACCGGTCCTGTGCCAGTATGCCTGACTGCAGCAACATGTCGGTGGACGCCGGCCGCTACGGATCTACGCCATATTGTAGCCCCACGTACACCCACGGTTTTGACGCGCAAGCACGTTTTGGGGTCAAAGGTTGTTTACGGCCAATCGGATTTGCAAGAGGGTTACTTAACTAATTTCTCCTTTTACTCATTGCCCTGTCGTGGTTTCCCTTTGCTGGTTATCCGAGAGAGTGTTACTGTTCGTAGTATTTCTGGTATTTGACTTTGGCTTCATTTGACTTCCCTGATTTCCGGTATCCTTGACTTTTGGCTTTCCCTGATCGTTGTGTCTCGTTCTGTATCCCTGACCTTGGCAAGTATTCTGACTATACTTGGATAAGTTTAATCCCGCCATTCTAGGTCCGGTTATACATTATCCTTAGTCCTAGGTGTGATATTATTCTGCGTGCTGGATCACTTAGTAATCCTGACAAATAGTTATACTCTACCGATCTATTTGAAAAGTGTACAGCTACCAGTTTAAAACATCTGTATTATAGATCTATATTGCAAACAGAAAAGCAAAAGGCAATATAGGTTTTAAAACGAGAAGTAGCCAGAAAATCTTATCCATCAACAGGCCTAGCATGATGCTGCATCAAACACCGTAACGCAAAAAAATACAGCCTTCTTGACTGTATTATTTTTAAATAGGACAGAGATAAACTTTATTCTGAAATATCAGGGTTATTAGCTAAAGTGAGGATTTAAAGTGAATTTCAAAGTTAAAGCAAAAAAGCCAAACTGAAAAATCATCCAAGTCATCTGTGGTTCCAGTTTGACTATTATGCACTTAAATTCGAAATTCACTTTAACTTCTTACTTTAGTGAAAAACCCTAAAAATCTGGAAAGTTACTCTAACCTTTTAAAAGACACATTTCATTTAATTACTATTGGGCATTAGCAAGTAGCCTTGAAGAAAAGGAAAAAAAACACCTGAAATCCAGCAAAGCTCTCAATGCCCCATCTGACATCAGTCTCTCTTCCCTCAAAAGCATTTGATAGAAAAGCTATTGTTTAGACTGTTCCACCAGCTCACAGCACATGTGTACACTCTGAGCCCGCAAGGAGATAGTGAGAGGCGGTGGTGAGGGAGAGAGAAGATTTAATAAAATAAATAAATAAATGACTGGGCAATATGCGTCACATCATCGGAAGTAGACAGCATCGGAAGCAAACATAAGCGTGCACGACGTGATATGAACTACGAGGATCACTTGAACTGTAAAAATTGACTTTTTTATTGTATATTATTTGTAAGTCTCATGCATAGTAACCTCACTAGGATTTTACGCAAGTATTTTTTTTATCTTACTTCTTATTAAATAAAATGAATGGTTGGTGTAACACTATTGGGGTCCCTTGGTTCTCTTTCCTGCTCTACTGTTGCAGCATATATATGGAAATAAGCTAGGACCCAGGTGTATATTAGCCACTGTCATTACAGAGCTGTTTAAACCAAGAGGTGTCTCTGGTTGATGTGAGTGTACCAAAAAATAAGAACACTAGAATTTGATCTGTACAAGTATAAATTTTATAGCATTTTTTTATAATATGAGTGGCATGAATAGTTTATTTCAAAAGAAATACGCAAAGTGCTATTAATCTATCTGGGTGCAACTCTGCAATAGTATATGTACCATATCAACAGCATAAAAGAATGTGCTTCAGGGTTGAAATTTTGTCTTTTTTTTTAACCTAGACAAATATGTAATACACTACATATATAGATATTGTTCGAGGTTCTAATTCAGGAGTCTGGATGTGTTATTTTACCTTCTTACTGCATTGTGTTGCTTGGTTTAAATGCTGACTATATTTTGCTTTTAGTTGCAAACAGAGCACCAATATAACTAATATTTTTCTTTGCTCACCTGGTACTGCTGTCCATTTTTGCACATCCCTCGCCAGCTTCTTTTCTATCACTGCCTGAGGAAGAGAAAATATGACTAAATGTATGTCCTATTATTGGGCACACAGTCTTATGCAATCTCAGTATGCAGAAACTGAATTGACTAGTTTATTAAACACAGGTATTCAAAATCACTCTGGCTATCAACTGTATTGGTATCTAAATGTCATTCATCTCCTGCTTTGGATGTTCTGGATTACCTGGTGGTGGAGCAGTTGAACCATCATCAGAAGACTTTCTCTTATCAAACATCTGAAAAAATAAAAATATACATAAGCCTCAATTTATATATTTTATTAATATAGTTATAGATTAACTTTTATTTTTTTTCCAACATACTAAAATATCAAAAACTATATCGATATAACAAAGAAAATCTGAATATTACAAAATTAAAATATTTTTATAATATTAAAATTTTTAAAAGCTTACCCAACAATATGAAATTGAGACCATAGAGTGAGTAAATCTCACTTTCAAAACATTTGACATTATCTATTGTTTTTGGCAATCTTCTGTGTACTTACACTTTACTGGGCTGAACATGGTCATACTCTAAATATGTTTAAATTATGTGCCTATTGTAAAGAAATTACAATACTCCCTTCAGTACTGCAAATATAAGAAGCCAGGGCTGTAAATATACATTTTGTTTCTTTCACAGGGTAAGCAAAAGCCTCCAATTTAATAAGAATCTTTAGAGAACATAGCAAATATTATTTGTATAGCAAGATTTGCATGAATTAAATAATAATTTGAAAAAAGGAAAAAGGTTGTGTTACCTGTGCTATAGGATACAGGTGAGAGTGTTAATGCTTCTATGGGCTTTAACTTAACAATGACCTAGCATGTTTTGACACATGTCTAATATGTGATATATAGTAGATCATAAATAATACCCATATTGAGAGGTGATTTCATGCAGCCTTGCAATATTGTATATTGCTTGTGCAGGTATACTGGTTTGTATATATTATAAAAACTGGGTAATTTCAGCAGTACCAATATTAAGAAATGCATTTTTTAGGTGTGGCCTCCACCTACAAACTCCTATTTGTCTCTCTTCATACATGCTGCCCTGACCAGACTCTTTGGATTAAACAAGCCACCTCTCCACACAGGGCCCCAAGCATTACAGACTTGTGTTATATACATTAGAGGAAAGTCTCTTGGAGCAGTTTAAGGTAGAAGTAATGCAGTATGTATGTAAGTTGTGACTAAATTCCACGTTTTAGCTTGGGAGAGGTAATTTTATGATTCAAAAACTTTATCTTTATATTATGGGCCTAGAAAATATAGTAAATGCACAAAATCTCCTATTTTTAATATGGTCTGTCAATGGAAAACCCTGAATGTATAAACTAATTGGTATCATGGGACACCAACACCAAAAATAGAGTGAATGCATATAATCTCCAATTTTACAAACGGCCTGTCAATGAATAACCCTAAATGTATAAACTAGTTGGTATCACGGGGTGCCAGCATCAAGTTGTACTTGTCTGTGCAAACAAACTCCGCAGCAAGTCAGGCCTGCAGTTTCCCTATATCATTCTCCAGTCAATGCAGGGGTGTCAGTTCTCTCAGATATCTGTTCCCAAGAAACTATGTTTGCTCTGCCTCTATGAAATCAATGAACTATGATTTCCCCATCCCTTTCTTGGTGTTTGGGTAATGCTTTTGCCACTGCAATTAATATCCTTAAATATAAAAGTACCAGGATATTGATTGTTTATATAACAATCTATTAAGGTATCAGAAGCTTTTGTTGATGTGTGTGAAGTAGTAAAATATTGCACATGGTCTTTAAGGGTCAAACTGTCATGTTATCCATGGGTTAAAGGAACACATACCTTGAATCACTTCTTAATGCTTCTTTTGGCAATGCTTCTTTTCGCTAAGCACTTCCTAGCTTTGGCAAGAGACGGGCATTCCAAATCCTTCAGTGTCTATCATCTCTATGGGGCACCTTTGACACTGAAAAGAAAGAACAAGTGTTACCCACTTACGTTTCCAAAGTCATGCCAGCAACCTCGATACTTAGCACATACATTATTAATGTTACAACTCACAGAAGAGAATATTTTCACTCTTGCCAGCCAACATTTATGAGGCACAAAAGTAAAGTGACATGCTCAAGGTCAGAGCGAACAGACGCTTGATATAATCCTATGGAAAGTCACATGTATGTTCTTAAGCTTTTCACACAATCCAGATAAAAAACAGTTAATGAAAACAATCTGCAGGAACATCAGAGTAGAAACCTTTCTAAAGTTTTTATTAATGCACTCAACCAAAAGAATATAATACTCCATTGCACAGCTTTTTTATTCTAAAGAACATACTGCAGTTTGAACATTATTTTGTTTACGAAGCACTCCAAGCACCATTGCAAATTCTGCTCGTTCCATGGGTTACAGGACAAGGAGATCCACTTTTCTTGTCTCCCTTTCTCTAGTTAGTTATAACTACTCTGTCTCACCCCTTTCTTCAGTAAATCAAAGTACAGTGTGACTTTCTTACTAAACACTGATCATTACAGTCTCCTCGTCATCTAACATGAGCCATAAACTGGTGCATTTATCATTACATCTACAGCTTAAAGGATCACTATAGGCTCCCAGACCACTTCAGCTTAATGAAGTGGTCTGGGTGCCAGGTCCATCTAGGATTAACCATTTCAGAGAAACTGCTATGTTTACCTAGGGGTTAATCCAGCCTTTAATGGCTTGTCTCATTGACAGCCGCTAGAGGCGCTTCCGCGCTTCTCACTGTGATTTTCACAGTGAGAAGATGCCAGCGTCCATAGGAAAGCATTAAGAATGCTTTCCTATGGACTGGCTGAATGCGCGCGTGGCTCTTGCTGCGCATGCGCATCCAGCCAATGACATCAGAAGAGGGAGGAGAGTCCCAGCGCAGAGGGAGCCTGGCACTGAAAAAAAGGTAAGGGATTAACCCCCTTCCTCCCCCTTCAGCGCAGCGGGAGTGGGACACTGAGGGTAGGGGCACCCTCAGGGCACTATAGTGCCAGGAAAACAAGTTTGTTTTCCTGGCACTATAGTGGTCCTTTAATTCATGAAACCAATAATGAAATTATTAATAGGAGGGCGGAAACTGAGGAAAAAAAAATCCAGAAACCTGGTATTTAAAATGTGTTCTTAATGCATTCGCTATAGAACTTCTACTCCAGCTTGTACCAGTCCATTAAGAATTCTTACGTCAAGAAGCATTGAGAGAGATTGTTTTGAGAATTACAATATAAATACACAATATGTCATGAACATATTACTTATATTAGGCCCATTTCATTGTTTCAAGGTCGATTATAAGACTCATCAGATTGTATCCATTAAAGGACCACTATAGTGCCAGGAAAACATACTCGTTTTCCTGGCACTATAGTGCCGACCCCCTCCCGCCAGGCTCTGGAAGGGGGAAAGGGTTAAAAACTTACCTTTTGCCAGCGCTGGGCGGAGAGCTCTCCTCCTCCGATCCTCCTCTTCTCCTCCCCGCCGGCTGAATGCGCACACATTCAGCCCGTCGCATAGGAAAGCATTTACAATGCTTTCCTATGGACGCTTGCGTGCTCTCACTGTGAAAATCACAGTGAGAAGCACGCAAGCGCCTCTAGCGGCTGTCAATGAGACAGCCACTAGAGGATTAGGGGGAAGGCTTAACCCATTCATAAACATAGCAGTTTCTCTGAAACTGCTATGTTAATAAAAAAATGGGTTAACCCTAGAAGGACCTGGCACCCAGACCACTTCATTAAGCTGAAGTGGTCTGGGTGCCTAGAGTGGTCCTTTAAACAGCGAGCTGTGTTGAGCTAGCTAGGCTAGTTAATAAATTAAGGTCAAGGCTCAAGACAAAAAAAAAAAAAACTGCCTGGAGTAGTTTATTTTTTCTAAATTCTAATATTTTGTACTAAGTTTCACAACTCTGTTGATCAAGCCCTTTTAAAGGACCACTATAGTGCCAGAAAAACATACTTGTTTTCCTGGCACGTGCCCCCACCCTCAGGGACCCCCTCCCGCCGGGCTGGATGGCAAGGAAAGGGGTTAAACTTACCTTTATTCCAGTGCCGGGCGGGGAGCTCTCCTCTCCGCCTCCGATCCTCCTCTTCGGCTGTATGCACATGTGCGGCAAGAGCTGCGCGCACGCATTCAGCTGGTCTCATAGGAAAGCATTTACAATGCTTTCCTATGGACGCTTGCGTCTTCTCACTGTGATTTTCACAGTGAGAAGCATGCAAGCGCCTCTAGCGGCTGTCAATGAGACAGCCACTAGAGGATTTGGAGGCTGGATTAACCCATTTATAAACATGCTATGTTTATAAAAACATGCTATGTTTATAAAAAAAGGGGTTAATCCTAGAGGGACCTGGCACCCAGACCACTTCATTAAGCTGAAGTGGTCTGGGTGCCTAGAGTGGTCCTTTAATGTTAGCCTGCTTCCTAGAAACAACTAGGGATCGAACAATATTAATTTTTTAGAGGCGATACAGATAATCGGTGAACCTTCAGGCCAATAGCCGATAACTTTCCAATATTCTGTACATTTACCATTTTGAAAAAAAATCAGCTATTTCTACACAAATCTACTGTTAACTGAACATGTTTATTATTTATATTTTTGCAAATCTTTTTTTTATTAACCCCTTAAGACCGGAGGGCGTACAATTACGCCCTATTTTAGGCGGCTCTAAACGCCGCCCGGCGTAATTGTACGCCCTCCAGTCTTTCATTACTTACCCGGTCGCCGGCGTGGTGGGGGGGACTCCCAGGGAGCCCCCTTGCGGCAGATCCTCCTCCTCCGGTGCCCCCCGGCCATGTGAGAGTGAGGTCCTTGCGAGGATCTCACAATCACATGGCCGGGTAGGCTGCCTCCTGCATTGCCAGCAGGGGGGCTGCCTGTAATTAGGTGGTCCCCCTGCTGGCTGGAAATAAAAATAAAATAAATTAAAAAGTGTAAAAAAAAATAAAAAATGTATACTTACATCATATATATACACATATATATATATACACACTCATACACTGTCTAGGTGTATTTTACTATTAATATATATATATATCATGTTTTGTCCTGATGAAAGCTCCATGTGGGAGCTGAAACGTTGACTTTTTAAATGGATTGAATAAAAGCTAAATTTTATTTGAAAATCTCTATAAAGTCCTTGGAGTGCGGTCATTTCTGCTATGTCTACATGATCCTTGCCAGACCAGCACCGGGCACCACAGGATTACACCAGGAGTGCAAGCCTTCGCTATTTATATATATATATATATATATTTATATTAATATCAAATTACACGTAGACTGATACTGATTAAATATATAATTATTGTTATATATATTTATTAGTGATGTCCTGAACGGTTGCACGAATTTTACATTCATTGTGAAGCTGCATTCTTAGTGAGCTGTCCAGGAGGTGGGAGGGTCTGGGAGGGAGGGTCTGCTGCTGATTGGTTGGAATGTGTCTGATGACTGTGAGGTACAGGGTCAAAGTTTACCGCATATATTCGCCATCCGCGGTGAACCGTTCGGGACATCACTAATATTTATATATAATATAAAAAAATTAAATATGTAAATACGTTAAAAAATAAAATTAAAAAAATAATTAAAAAAATATATAGATGTGTGTTATTTTGTTCTAACTGTATTGTGATATTAATATATATATTTATATCAAAATACACGTAGAACGAAATAATATATACATCTATATACATAAATATATACGTATATATCACTATATATATACACCTATATATAAATAAAAATATATTAAAAAAATTATATATATATATATATACACACACACACATATAGATTCACATACGTGTATATATATATTATACACACACACATACATATATTCATTCTACATATATATTTATGTAATATTTTTACATAATTAGGTATGTTAATTAATTACAATTAGCGGGACCTGTCTGACAACCCATGCTGAAATTAAAGGGAATTAAATTTGCTAGCACTATATTTAACCCTATAACTTTCCAAGACACCATAAAACCTGTACATGGGGGGTACTGTTCTACTCGGGAGACTTCGCTGAACACAAATATTAGTGTTTCAAAACAGTAAAGTGTATTACAACGATGATATCGCCAGTAAAAGTAAACATTTTTGCCTTTTTCATGCACAAACAGCACTTACACGGACGATATTATTGCTGTGATACTTTTTACTGTTTTGAAACACAAATATTTGTGTTCAGCGAAGTCTCCCGAGTACAACAGTACCCCTCATGTACAGGTTTTATGGTGTTTTCAAAAGTTACAGTGTCAAATATAAGGCTTGCGTTTCATTTTTTTCACATTAAAATTCGCCAGATTGGTTACGTTGCCTTTGAGACCCTATGGTAGCCCAAGAATGAAAATTACCCCTATGATGGCATACCATTTGCAATAGTAGACAACCCAAGGTATTGCAAACAGGGTATGTCCAGTCTTTTTTAGTAGCCACTTAGTCACAAACACTGGCCAAAATTGGCATTTTTTGCATTTTTCACACACAAACAAATACTAACGCTAACTTTGGCCAGTGTTTGTGACCAAATGGCTACTAAAAAAGACTGGACATACCCCATTTGCAATACCTTGGGTTGTCTACTATTGCAAATGGTATGCCATTATGGGTGTAAATTTAATTCCTGGGCTACTATAAAGTCCCAAAGGCAACGTAACCAATCTGGCGAATTTCAATTTCAAATGTAACGTGCTATATTTGACCCTGTAACTTCCCAAAACGCCATAAAACCTGTACATAGGGGGTACTGTCTTACACGTGAGACTTTACTGAATACAAATATGTGTATTTTATTGCAGTAAAAGCAAACAGTATTATGACATTGACAGTTAAAATGTCATGTAGAACTAAAAAAATCAAAAAAATCTTATTTTCTCCCATTTTTTTCATATTAAATTATGTTTCATAGCTAAATATTTGATATTAAATGAAAGCCCTGTTTCCCCTGAATAAAATGATATATAATAAGGGTGGGTGCATTTAATATGAAAGAGGTGAATTACGGTTGGACAGACATGTAGCGCAAATGCCAGGTTTTGTTTACATTTTGTTTCGTTCACAACGTGTACATTTGGCTCCGTCCTTAAGGGGTTAAGGTAAATGCACAAAATATACATGCCAGTCAGAATTTTTTATGTTTTCAAGAATATATGTTTGTGTAGTGGATGCAGTGAGAGTATTTGATTAGTGAATGCAGTGTGTGTTTGTGTAGTGAATGCAGAGTGTGTTTGTGTAGTGTGTATAGTGAATGCAGAGTGTGTTTGTGTAGTGTGTATAGTGAATGCAGAATGTGTGTGTTTGTGTATAGTGAATGTAGTGTGTGGTGTGTGTAAAGTGAATGCAGTGTGTGTGTAAAGTGAATGCAGTGTGTGTAGTGTGCGTAAAGTGAATGCAGTGTGTGTGTATATAATGAATGCAGAGTGTGTGTATATAATGAATGCCAAGTGTGTGTGTTTGTGTAGTGTGTGTATAGTGAATGTACTGTGTTTGTGTAGGTATGTAATGTGTGTAAAATGGTGGGGCATTTTTAATTTTATTATTTTATATATTTTTTTTATTTATTTTTTAGTCCCCCTCACCCTTGCTTCTTACTTGGCCAGAGAGGGGGGATATGGTATTCCCTGGTGGTCCAGTGGCATGGACTGTGCAGCAAGCTCTTACTTACCTTCACAGCAGCTCCCCTGTCTAAATCTTGCGGTAAGTAAAAGCTTGCTGCGGGCCCTCCAGGACAGCCAGGCTTGTCATGGGGCCGGCGGTCCTGGTCTGTATTATCGGCAATATCGGTATCTCTATAGGCCGATACCGATATTGCCAAAAATACTGAATATCGGCCAGACCGATAATAGGTCGATCCCTAAAACAAACCATGCAATATGCCATGCTGAAGAATCCTTAAAGTTTCAGCAGTTATTCTGAGATAGTGACTTCTATCACAGTGTTTGGTTTGATAATTTAATAATAATTTGTGATCTAAAAGAAATCTTAAGCTAATTTATCATAATTTTGTTGTACAGCAGCTCTTTGAAAGTGCTTTAATTGCTTTAATTTAATGGTATTTATATTCAAACACCATAAACTGTCCATGCAGTGATTCTACAACTTTATGTACTTAGTTCATCTATTTGAGAGGAATTATGATAGTTATATTTATAACTTGGCTGTGACTTCTTTGCATTTGTCAACATCTTAAAGAGTAATAGACACCACCGTAAGTTGGGTATCTTTCTTGTTAATGCTCTGCCAGGCCTGAACTTCAACAACTTGCAGTTTCTGGTTGTTTAAGGGCATCGCTCCAATGTTTTTAAAGAAGTGAATAAAATGCATGCTCAAATGTATTTGTACTTGGTGAGTGACTTGGCCAGTGAAGGACATTTCACTTCTTTGGCCTTGAAAAGAATGTCCTGTCATATATGGTGGAAGGATGTACCTTACAGTCTTCGTGAATGCATTGTCTTAGAACTGCATTGATATACAAAAATGATTGTAGCTATAAATTCACACCGTCCCTGGCAGATATCACAAGTACATGTATTATGTGGTATAGAAATTGCTATCTACACCAACATGCTGGAACATCATCTATATATACACACCACATACTTTCCAACATGGCAGGTATACAGGTCAGAACAGGTGGGAGATCTGAGAGTCACGTCAATAACGATATCTTTAATGGGTTCGTGCGTGATGGGCCACCCAGAAAATTGATAGATCTATTAAAGTGGGCCTGTGTTGGGACTGTTGGGAGGGGGTGCCTGAAGCCTAAAATGTGAATGAAGCCGACACCCACTTTTATCAGCTTAGGCAACATTTCCAGTAAAAGAACACTCCATTTACATGTTTTAACTATTTAGTAGATATACCACCAAATAAAAGACATGCATGTATTTTTAATCCATGTTTTGTTTTCTTTGTGGGTATGTGAAAAACAGCTCACAAAAGATATCTGCTGTCTGCAGTCTTTGTAGGCCCTCACCTCTTTCCCATTTCTCATTGAGAACTTTCAGAAACCTCTGCTCTCTCCAAAAAGCCATACTGGGATTAATCGGATAGAGCCACTTTAGAAAGTGTCATAGAAAACTATATATGCATCCTAATTGGTCACTTCGGGGAATGGCTTTCAGGGCTGAACCCAATGGTTTACTCGCATAACTACAGATCCTGAGCAACCGTGACTAGAAAATCTTGGGGGGAAAACACCTTTTCCAAAGGGAACTAAAAGAAGTCTTCATAACTTATGCTTAGCAAGAATTATGCCACCTGAATTTTGACACTTGTAGTCTGTATACAGACCTTGGAACAAGTGGGTTAATGTCTAAGTGCGTTCACTTGTCAACTGTTTTTAAAACAAAATGTAAATCCTGGTGTAATGTAACATATAATATATATTTATTTGTGCTATGCTTACACATTCATTGTTGCGCAATGAGTAAGTAACCGCACATGCCCTAAAGAGGGTATCAGGCTAATTTAGATTCCTATCAGTGATAGCATATACATTAAAGACTTTGTAAAAAGAATAATATAAGAAATAAATTTAATTAATTAATAAGTATACTGGGTTTATAGGCGTATCTTGCACAGACAACCACTCTACAAATAGATAAATAAATAAATAAAAGAGAGTTAGCGCTGTCCATAAAATAGAAAAACAGCTGACCTGTGCAAATCAAATTTGGATTAAAATCAATAACAGGTTAAAAAAAAGCAGTATACAAGTTAATCTTCACTCCCCATGTGTTACTGAATGTTATCAAGTACAGTACATAAACCAAGCAAGCAAATAAACGTGTTTTCAAATCAAAACACAGGCGTTGCAATTGTTTTGTCCTTGCTTTTGACAGGATATAAAATCTAATTCATGAACAAGGACTGAACAAGGACTGGGAAGAATGCACAATATAATTTCCAAACTTGCGTACGCATGGTTATATTAAATAATATATAAACTGATTTTCCTAGGACACTTGTGCTATGGATATTAGGCAGGGAATGCAGTACTGAAGTAACAATAATATTTTAAAAATAAAATAGCTACCTTTGAAAATAAAAAGATGTGTCTTGTACCTGAGGAATCATGTTAAAGAAATGTTCCAAGCACCATAGTCTCTACAGTGCTCTTTAGTGGTTATGGTGCCATTGTAAGTAGTTAAGTTGTTCTAGAGGCCAAGGAGCGTCAAGCTTCTCATCCACTTTTCACTATGGAGAGCCAGAAGCTTTACATGTGAGCTGTAAGCCCAGCAGTGCAGGGCTTAGTTCATTTGCTGAGAGCAATTAGCTGAAGCTCTTAGCCAATGAGCAACCCTATCTTGCTTAGGTGCTTCTAGCTCTCCATAAGAAGTAGTGGAGATTGGGAGCAGTGTAAGGGGAATCCCTGGTAAGAAATTCAACCTTTCTAAAATGGTTTGACTACTTAAAAAAGGGGAACATCACGGTACTCCTGGCACCATAACTACCACAGTCAGCTATTGTGGTATGGTGCTTGGAGTTTCCTTTTAAATAATGCCTGTTTATTAAAGGTGAAGTCTAACTAAACCTCGCTTATCTGTAGGAAATGCGGAGTACTGCCAGGAATTGTCTGCAGAAAATACATATCCACGATGACAAAATTACTTTAGCTACCATCCCTGAACTTGAAATAACTCAATCAATACATAAAGAGCAGTTTTGCAACTTGATGATAATTTGTAATAAAATAAAAAATGAAAGAATCCAATGCATCAGCATACTGTTGCAGCGTGTTTGCTATGATTATTACCAAAATGTCTGTTGGGTACTTCAGAATGAAGATCTGCATTCAAATTATGAAAACAAGAAACTCTGCAGAAAAACTAAAATAAGAGATTTTTTTTTTTTTTTTTGTATGGCTTATTTTCTGTATGTGTAGGAACTAAAGCTTTATAGTTGTTAAAGGAACAAAGAAATTATTTTCAGATCAGAAGCACATTAAATTAACAGACTCTAAACATAACAAATAGTAGAAGACATTGTTTTTTTTCACTTGCTAGGATGCTGAGATTAGTAACTGATGCCCATCATACACTTTATGCACCATAACTACTACAATGGAATGTGGTGATTATCGTGCCAGGAGTGTTGTCCACTGGGTGCCTTTTCCACCTCTTCTCTTCAGCTCGAGAGCCAGAAGCTAGCTGCCCTAAGTTAAAGGGGCCCTCTGGGCACCATAACAACTTAATCTAAATGAAGTTGATATGGTGCCATTAGGTCCCCGGCACACTTTTCCCTTACGGGGTTAAACCATTCTCGAACAGTTTAACCTCAAAGTGAGCCTCCAATCCTGAGGATCCCGTGTGTCAGCTGGGTTCTGAAATCTCAGTTTCAGAAAGTATGGAGACACTCTCAGCCAATCAGTGACTCCCCCTTCATAAACCCAGCTTGAAAAAAAAAACATACCTTTTTCAAGCCAGTTTTATGAATGCGGCGCCCCTTCCCAGCAGCACTTTGCGCTTCCTGAAACTAAGATTTCAGACGCCGGATGCCGTTTAGGGGACCTGTGGATCGGCGCTGGAGGTTCACATTGGGATTAAACCTCTTGACACCTTAACTATAACGTAAGGAGGAAGTTGTTATGGTGTCTAAACTGTCCGTTTAAACTGTGCAGTGCAAGGCCAACTCATTGACTGAGGATGATCAGTCGACACTGTTAACTAAAGAGCTGGCCCTTTACTGTAGGGTTTAGTTTAGGCAGAGAGCTTCCAGCTTTCAGACCAGAAGGAAACAGGTCTCCAGCAGAGATCTCAACTACAATCATAATCCAGTCCTGCATAAAATAAAGTATGGGGTTTTATTTAAGCCACTAAGGGTTCACCTGAAAGCGTTTCAAGTCCCAACACGTCTTTGTCACAAGACAATGATCTAAGTCAGCATTTCCCAATTGGTGTTCCGCCAAAAGTTTAAAAAATAAAATGGCCGCGGGCAGCGAGGAAGCAGTGATCTCCCTGCTCAGCTCCCTCGAGCGCACAGCAGTGATGCTGGAGCCAGAATATGACGTCAATCCGGCTACAACATCACTGAGAGGCGCACAAGGTGATCACTGCTCCCTTGCCGCCCGCACGCCAGCCGCCCTACTGAACCCCAGGGACAGCAAGCTCAAAGAGTATATGTGTGTTTGTCAGTGAGAGTGAATGTGTGCTTGTCAGTGAGTGTGTAAGAGTGTATGTGTTTGTCAGTGAGTATGTGTGTCTTTGTGTGTCACTGTGTGTATGTGCCAGTGTGTTTGTATGTAAGTCAGTGTGTGTGTGTATCTGTGGGTGCAAGAGTGTGTGTGTGTGTGTATTTGTGAGTCAAGGTGTGTGTGTCAGTGTGTATCTGTGTGTCAGAGATTATATATATATATATACACACACACACACACACACACACACACACACATAGACGCATACAAAACACAGATATATACACCTTTACACACAAAGGCACATAGAAACATAGAATGTGACGGCAGATAAGAACCATTCGGCCCATCTAGTCTGCCCAATTTTCTAAATAGAAAAGAGAACAAAACAGATGTAGAGACACCTAAGGGTTAAATCAATCAATCAGTCCCAAAGGTTCCCTACATATGTAAAGCAACCCATAAGAAAATATATAAAATATAACTTTTAATAGAATACCATCTAAAATAAATAGCTAAGTATTGAGAAAAAACAAATCCCTAATAATAGATAGTAAATCAAAAGAGGAGAGAAAGAGAGCTCGAAGCTAAATGGTAGCACAGAGACAAAAAGGATTCTTAGTGGATCAAACTGAATCCAAATGTAACAATAGTGAAATCTATCTCTCTGTGAGCAACCTAATCCTATTACTCATTTCCCTCAATAGTCTAAAGCCTGCAATAGCTATCTACATATAACAAAGTAGCCTCAACTGGAGGATCGCCAAATAAAAGTAATAGTCTAATAGCTAGAAATATGGAGAGGGTAGTCTAAACGGAGCATAATATTTCAATTGCTGCAGCATAGGCCCTAGTCTGGCTCCAACCACCCGCTCACTACACTAATCCCGACGCGCGTTTCGCCACACTGGCTTCAGAGCCAGTGTTTTGTTCTCTTTTCTAGTTTTGTTACTAGGGGTTACCCCCCATGCTTTATTAGCAACCCGATCTTATACCCTTGTTCCTATTTTTCTTTTCAATTTCCAATTTTCTAAATACTTTCATTAGTCCCTAGTCTTATCTTATAGTTAGGATAGCCTTATGCCTATCCCACGCATGCTTAAACTCCTTTACTGTGTTAACCTCTACCACTTCAGCTGGAAGGCTATTCCATGCATCCACTACCCTCTCAGTAAAGTAATACTTCCTGATATTATTTTTAAACCTTTGTCACTCTAATTTAAGACTATGTCCTCTTGTTGTGGTAGTTTTTCTTCTTTTAAATATAGTCTCCTCCTTTACTGTGTTGATTCCCTTTATATATTTAAATGTTTCTATCATATCCCCCCTGTCTCGTCTTTCCTCCAAGCTATACATGTTAAGATCCTTTAACCTTTCCTGGTAAGTTTTATCCCGCAATCCATGAACCAGTTTAGTAGCCCTTCTCTGAACCCTCTCTAAGGTATCAATATCCTTCTGAAGATACGGTCTCCAGTACTGTGTACAATACTCCAAGTGAGGTCTCACCAGTGTTCTGTACAATGGCATGAGCACTTCCCTCTTTCTACTGCTAATACCTCTCCCTATACAACCAAGCATTCTGCTAGCATTTTCTGCTGCTCTATTACATTGTCTGCCTACCTTTAAGTCATCAGAAATAATCACCCCTAAATCCCTTTCCTCATATGTTGAGGTTAGGACTCTATCAAATATTCTGTACTCTGCCCTTGGGTTTTTACGTCCAAGATGCATTATCTTGCACTTATCCACATTAAATGTCAGTTGCCACAATTCTGACCATTTTTCTAGTTTACCTAAATCATTTGCCATTTGGCTTATCCCTCCTGGAACATCAACCCTGTTACATATCTTAGTATCATCAGCAAAAAGACATACCTTACCATCAAGACCTTCTGCAATATCACTAATAAAAATATTAAAGAGAATGGGTCCAAGTACAGATCCCTGAGGTACCCCACTGGTGACAAGTCCAAGCTTCGAATATATTCCATTAACAAAGATTGCAGTTTATTGATAAGCCTTCTATGTGCAACAGTGTCAAAAGCCTTACTGAAATCTAGGTAAGCAATGTCTACTGCACCACCCTGATCTATAATTTTAGTTACCCAATCAAAAAAATCAATAAGATTAGTTTGGCATGATCTCCCTGAAGTAAACCCATGTTGTCTCTGATCTTGAAATCCATGTGTTTTTAGATGTTCATCAATCCTATCCTTTAACATGGTTTCCATCACTTTCCCCACTACTGAAGTAAGGCTTACTGGCCTATAGTTGCCCGACTCCTCCCTATTACCTTTCTTGTAAATGGGCACAACATCCGCTAACTTCCAATCTTCTGGGACTACTATATACAAACATAGATACACTTTGAAACATAGATACACACACCTTGACACACAGATACATACACACACACAGATACACACTGTGCACATACAAAAAAAAGCTTTGATTGTTGATATACTATGTCAAAGGATTCCACAGGAAAAATTAATTGGGAACCCCTGCTCTAGGTCAATCCGTGGTTGCTAGAATAAAGGCACATTGCTATAAACGAAAACTGTCATTTATTTGCTGCATTTTATCAGCACAAGCACCTATCATATATATACTTTTCATGGTCCTGTGGCCCTAAATCATTAAAGGGACACTCCAGAACACAAGGCACTGCAGCTTTATTTGTGAAGAGTGGGTCCTCTATTTTTCATTTTACAAAATGTGCAGACTTCAATAGAAATTGGCACTTTTAAAAATGAACCTTGTTATTTCCCCTGCCTGTCAATCAAATAGTCCTGTTTCTTTGTGGCTTGTTTAGCTCACTGGAGCTAATCTCAAGAGACAGCAATTGCTCCCAGCACCTGCCTTGCAAAGACTTCTCAGTGAGCTGCATTGGTAAGTCTGTAATTCAAAAATCGCAGAACATCTGGACAGTGTTAGGAGATGACTTGCATAAACTTCATACAAGACATCTGGAGCTTTTGCAAGCTGTTTTTTTTATACATCCCCAACGAAAAAAATACATGCTTCATTAGGGGTATAGAAATACATGTTTTCATTAGAGGTATATCTACTAAAGAGTGATTTGTATTTTTTTATTTTGACAGTGGAGTGTCCCTTTAAAACAATCTCATTTTAGTGAAGGTAGAACAAGCTAAGCAATATCTTGTTTATGTGATGAAAGAGTACTACAGGACTGTCAGCAAAATCATAAGGAACATCATTCTAAATTTAACCTAATTTATGCTTTTTTGAAATTGCCAATTGCCTCTATTTGATCAAGCAGAGATGCATCCAATTTTATTTTTTATTTTTATTTTTTTTACCAAAGCAATTCTTTCCCTTATTCGTGTATTTGATATTTGCTACAATAGCAGTCCAGGGCAAATTCCCATTAGTAAAAACTCTGTAATCAATATAAACAGAATGATTTTTGGTTTTGGCCATTAAGGTAGCAACCTTGAGTTTTGCTTGGATCAGCCTCAGAGTCACAAGTTCGATCTTTGGAAAGATCTGCTAAGCCTTTAAATCCATTTGAAGTTGATAGAATTAGTATCACTAAAGCGGCACTATCATGGCAGAATTCTGTTTTTTTTTTTTAACCCCCCTCCCGACTCCACTACATCTAACTGACCCCCTAGTCACCCCCAAATGCCCCTAAACCCCCCAGATTACCTATTTTTTAATCTCTATTTTCTGCCCCGATCTATATTCAGGGCACCGCCATCTTTGTGTGGGTAGAGGAAGTCCCTGTGGGACACGTCATCTGCCCACACTAGATAGCCTGTGAGATTCAAGCACATGCCCAGTTAAACACTTGGGCATGCGAACGGGAATTTCATCTATTCATTCATTTGTCAGAAAGACGAATGAATGAATAGGAAAATCAGACGAACAAACAAACACTGAATATCAGTGTTCGTGCAGTTGATTAGAAGGAGGGAGCTACCGGCACGCAGCTCCCTCCTTGTAATATGTAAAGATAGAAGCGGCAGGGAGCTGTGCTCCCCACCACTTCCTAAGCCCCCCAGTAGGTCCCCCCATTGTAATTTATGGCCCCCACCCACCGCTCAAGGGTGGGGGCCGGGAAGACAGTAGGTTCCCCCATTGTAATTTATGGCCCCCACCTAAAACAAACGAACAAACTGTTCTCATTCAGTTAGAACGCAATTCGTCAGTTTCGTGTAAAATGACAGGAAGCATCACGAGCTCACAGAGGAAAGGTAAGAATTGTGGGAAAATTGCTCTGACCAGCGGAAATGAAGCACACTTTGCTCCTCCGCTGGTCAAAGCTGGTAAAGCGGAGGAAACCTCCATAAGGCAAAGAGTCCCTACTTTGTCTTATGATTTTAAAGAAAACTAAAGAAGACAGGAAGAAAAGAAGAACAGATCCTGAAAGAGGGGGAGAAGAGGAATAGAGGAAAGGTAAGTTCGGCATGACAGTGCCGCTTTAAGTTGGTTAAAAATAGCATTTAGACTTTAGGATGTATCAAACTAAATGTACCTTTCATAGTTAAGGGGACACTATAGTCACCAGAACAACTACAGCTCATTGTATTTGTTCTGGTAAATAGAATTATCATCTTCAGGGTTTTTGATGAAAACAATGTTTGTTTGTTTTTAGAGAAAATGCAGTGTTTACATTACAGCCTAGTGATAACTCCACTGGCCACTCCTTGGATGGCTGTTAAAGCTGCTTCCTTGGATGGTGCTGCAGA